TACTGACAGAAGTGCAGGTTACTCCAGGCAGCCACAAGCAGAGTGCTGAGGTGGATGGTGTTTTCTTCCTGTTAAGTGCATGCAGAATTCCCTTGCTGTGTTGATTGGTTCCTGGTTTTCATGGGACACTGATGGATTCTTGGATGTTATTTCTAAATAATAGAGAGGCTGGAAGGGCTGGCTTCAGTTTAGATTGCACCTGAGACATGGAGGTAGGAGAAGGGCTGGTGCTTCATTGCCAGACATGAGGAAGCACATGAGTTCTGCTGGCAAGAGAAGGTGATCTGACTGCGCTGGATTGGGATGGATTATAAAGCATCCTGCTCAGGGCTTGGATTCTACTAGGAATCACATCATCCACCTTTCTATCATGTTTTTGGCAGGTCTATAACCTGACTCAAGAGTTCTTCCAACGAGGTAAACCAGTCAATGCTGAGAGCCAGAACAGTGTGGGCGTCTTCACACGGGACGTCGTGCGCAAACGTGTCAAGGCCGACCCGGATGACACAGAGGCCGTCAAGAGGCTGAAACTAGCCATGATCCAGCAGTACCTGAAGGTATGTGTCCACGTGTCATTATTTTGTTTTAGTCAAGAGCAGGCAAATCCTGAACTTCAGGCACTTGGCTGTGCCTTGTCCAGCACTGGGGAATTGCTTTCTGTGGTCTCTTGAGGCTATTTGTGCTTATAGTGACAGCTTTTCCTCCTGAGGCAGATCCAGACAGTGGACTGCAAGGAATAATGGCTTTATTCTCTGTTGTTTTTTCTTCCTTACCTTAGACTTCCAGCTTTCTAATTAGAAGAGGCTTTCCTAGGCCTTGTTAAATTTTCTGGTGTGACTTAATGATTTCTTACCACCTGAAGCTACTTTATTGTCAGTAATATCTTATCTTGTGCCTTATATCTGCACCCTGTGATATCCTGCCTGAGTGTTTGTTAGCCCTTCTTCTTCTGTCTGTCTCTCAGAGACCAGAGGGGAGACATAACTTTGATAGTAGTAACTTACTGAAGAAGTCTCCAGAAAGCGTTTTGAAGGGAAAGCAATAAAATCCAAGGTAGGCTGTATAAAACCATGTCCTAATCATCTTTCCTCATGGCTTTCCTAGTTCTTTTTATCTCCATGATGCCTTGGCTAAATGAGTTCTCTGTAGGATGAGGACTTAATGCTGCATTGAGCATTTCACAAGTAAAGTATAACAGTCATTTCTGTTTCAATTAGAATGACTTAAAAGCTTCTGAAATGAGGCAGGGGAGGAAAGCAGCACTGTGTCATGTGGGGAAGTGTTCACTATTTACAGGTGGGAAGGTAAAACAAAGAGAAATAAAGACCTAAAGAGTCTCACAGGAAATCTGTGATAAAGCTGAGGTTTGAACCCTAGTGTCCTCAGCAAAAATGCTCTCACCCAAAAGCTTGTGTCATAGGGTGTCCCTACAGCTGCCACTTGAAGACTAGTTATTTGTTGTGTTAGCCTTGCAGCAGCACCTATGCAGACAGGGTTAGTCATTTGATACAGCTCTGGTTTTCCTGGTGGTTTCTTCTGTGGTTGCTACAGGTGGCCACAGCCAGAGCTTTTTCTGCAAGTTTTGAAAATCCCTTCTCATGTATAAATACCTGAGAACAACAAAGCTTCTCATACTTAAGGCTATCAGATGAGAGAATGGGGATTAACTGGTCTATGGCAAAGTATAGTCGTGGTAGTTGCTTGAATTTATTTTTTTTTTCCCCTGGCATTTTGCCTGCATGGTTGAAGGAATCAAACAGCCATCACTGTTTGTTAACTTCATAATGTGGAGTGTCCTGTTGGAGCACCCAGGCAGGATGAGCATCCTGTTACATGCCCTGGGGTGCAGGGTTTGTGTTGTGGGCCAGCAGCACTGACCCTGGGGGTGTGTTGGAGAGTGCTCACTCAACCATTGGATGGGGTGGAACCACACCACACTCAGAGGATGAATCTTCTTCAAGACTTGCCTGCTGGCAACGTGTCCCAGCAGTTGTGCTCACACTGTCTCCATTGGAGTCATTGGGCAGTGACCAAGATGGGGCAACCACTTGTTTGTCTGTATAGTCACAGCAGCAGCCTGTCAGCTGCTTGCTGCAACCTTGACTTGTTCACTTGACACTTTACCCCAGCGCAGAAATTCCTGCCCTGCACCAGGGCGCTCTGCAGGGAGAGGGTCTAGGCTCATCAGGCTTCCAAACACAGTAATTTAAGTATGAAAAGGCCTAGAAAATGGGTGAAAGGGTGAGACAAAGGCATTGTAATGTTCCCATTGCCTAAAATGCTTAAGGAATTACAGTGTGTGAGTGATTGTGACTCTGGTCGTTTGAAGATTTTAAGATCACAATGTCACATCAGGATTATCATTAGAGGCTTATCACAAGACAGGCCAAACATCCTGCCTTTGTTCCAGGGATTGTTGAAAGCTACAGCTATGCCTAATGCTCCTACAAACATTAACCAACAGGTCCTGAATCTAAAACTTTGGTAATCACATCAAGTGAATCAAACACATGCGTCTCACATCTTGGCATTTCCCTTTCCTATCTCCTTCAGTTCCTTCTGTGCTGGGTCCTCTCACCTCCAGCAGATTGTTAGCCTGCTGATTGCTGACTGACTGACAGTGTGCTGAAAGCTGCGGACAGCAGAAATAGCTGCCAAAAGTTTTTCGTGGCTCCTCATGGGAATATTTATTAACATTGGAACGAGCTTCTGATTACCATAGCTCCAGGTTCTGCTGTAGGAGCACCAAGCACCTGGTCCTTGGCCAGTGGAGTGGGTTTTAAAGAACAGAAAACAGTCAGAACTATAACCCAGAATTGTGCAGAAGCAAAGACACAATGGAATCACAGGTTCACAGAATGGTTTGGATTGGAAGGAATGTTAAAAGACCATCTAGTTCCAACCCCCTGCCATTGACATGGACACCTTCCACTAGACCAGACTGCTCCAAGCTCCATCCAGTCTGGCCTTAAACACTTCCAGGGATGGGGCAGCCACAGCTTCTCTGGGCAACCTGTGCCAGTGCCTCACCACCCTCACAGCCAAGAATGTTTTCCTAATACCTAATTCAACCTTCTTTCAGTTTAAAGCTGTCATCCCTTGTCCTATCACTCCAGGCCCTTGTCCAAAGTTCCTCTCCAGCTCTCTTGGAGCCCCTTTAGGTACAGGAAGGTGCTAGAAGGTCTTCATTGAGCCTTCTTTTCCCCAGGCTGGGCACTCCCAGCTCTCTCAGCCTTTTCACACAGCAGAGGTGTTCCAGCCCTCTGCTCTTTGAACTGATACAACTGTTGCCAATGCAACCAAAGCTGTTGCAGCTTGTTACCATGACAAAACGGTTTCTCTGTTTAGAAGGAAGGATAAGGATAGTTTTTTGTCAGATCCTATAGCCAAGCACTTCTTTACTAGGAAAAATAATGTGGCTTCAGAGTGGGATTCACGACTCCCATCTTGTGCAGCTACGCTGTGCTCTTGCCCTGTTGTGCTCTGGCAAAATGAGTTGCTCTGTGGCAATATTGCTTTTGTGTTGCTTTCCTTAGGTAGAGAGTTGTGAGAGCAGCTCCCATAGCATGGATGAAGTCTCGCTGAGTGAATTTGGGGAATGGACCGAAATTCCTGGGGCTCATCACATCATTCCTTGTGGTTTCATTAAAATCGTGGAGATTTTGGCTCGCTCCATTCCCAAGTCTGTGATTCAGCTCTGCAAGCCGGTCAAGTGCATCCACTGGAACCAGTCGGTCTGCAAGGAGATTGAGAGGGTGGCTGACCACAACAGTGATCTCCCTGAGGAGAACAAGGGCTCCAGTGTCTTCGTAGAGTGCGAGGACTGCGAGTTCATCCCAGCTGACCATGTCATTGTGACTGTGTCCCTGGGAGTCCTGAAGAAACGCCACGAGAGCCTGTTCCATCCCCGCTTGCCCGAGGAGAAGGTGATGGCCATTGAGAAACTAGGAATCAATACGACTGACAAGATCTTCCTGGAGTTTGAAGAGCCTTTCTGGAGCTCTGAATGCAACAGCATCCAGTTTGTCTGGGAAGACGAAGCAGAGAGCGAGAGCTTGACGTATCCCGAGGAGCTGTGGTATAAGAAGATCTGCAGCTTTGATGTACTGTACCCACCGGAGAGGTACGGCCATGTCCTCAGTGGCTGGATCTGTGGAGAAGAGGCTCTGATCATGGAGAAGTGTGATGATGAAACTGTGGCAGAAATCTGCACCGAAATGCTACGTAAATTTACAGGTCAGCCATGCTGTGGTGGGAATGGGAGTGTGGGGTTGGAGCGTTGAATAACCACAAGGAAGGAAACACTTTAAAGTAATTTTTAGTTGTTTGGCATTTTATGTCACTTCGAATGTGCTTCCAGCATACCTCCTGCTTGGGTGTGCCTGGAAGCTATTTATACAGAGGGGCTGATAACCAGCTCAGGAAGTGGTAGGCAGAAGTGCTTGAGGATTCCACATCCTCTGCTTTATTTAATCCCAAATAGCTCTTCAGCAGCTGAAGCTGTCAGACTCAGTACCTCTGAGGGCTGATGGAAAGCAGCATGTCTCTTTTGGAGCCAGAGAAGTTGAACCTATTTAGATCAGCTTGAGAGGTGGTTGAATAACATCTCTGACTTCCATTCAGTATCAGCTCTATGAAAATATCATCCACCTAAATGTAGAAAAATACATTGATCTTCAGATCAGTGATCTTGACCATTGATCTTGAGAAGTCCCATTTTCTGGAACCATCACTTAAACCTTCACAGATTTCATGTTTACTGAGCACACATCACTTTAAGGGCAGCAGTTGGACCAAGACAGCTCTAAGGTGTATTATACTGAGAGAATCCAGATGAAATCACCCAAAGTAATAACTTGAATTTGGGTTTAGTTTGCCCACAGTCACTTCTCTAGAGGTTGCACAGCTTCCCAAGGAAAGGGCTTTTTGTATCTGCAAAGAGATCCTCTGGAAGATGCTGTGCAAGTGCAGGTGTAAGGTAGTCACACTGAAAGAGATAGTGCTGGTCTCATTAGCCGTGCTGAAATAAGGATTTTGAATTTATACTTAATTATGAGCAATGAAGAGAGCGATATCCTTCAAGGTTAGATGTTGTTTATGCTATGCTAGACATGGGTCCTCTCGTTAAATGATTTCTATCTTCCTGCTAGCTCCTGTTAGCCAAATGTCAACACCCAGTGGGTTTCCAGCCTTACCTCTTATCCATGGACCTTCAAATACTAACTGGAGTAACTGGAGAGGTTTCACAACTGTAGCTCTCCTCTGTTCTTACATATATTTGCTACCAACAACATGAAGATCTAGAGAAAGGGCCCTGGAAGCTGAGGCCTGGATGAATAACTGGCTACTGCCAAAAGATATTTTAGGTTTTAGCAATCACAGGGTAGACTGTGGATTCAGAACCTCTAATGCAGTGTCCAAACCTGCATCCTTGTTCCAGCCACTGCCTCCTGAGCTGTTTGTTTCCAGGGGTGTTGGATGTCCCTGTGTTCTGTATTGTGTAATTACCTATGTGCTGTATTTCCCCCTGACCTCAGCAGCAACTGCTGATCTACACAAGCATAGCAGGAAGCTCTTCTTTCTAAAGTCAAGTTGTTCCAGTCTCCCAGAGAAGAGAGTTTGCAAACAAACCTTGTTTGTTGCAGCTTTTGTTGCTTAAGACCTCTTTATTTGTTCAAAACACCTCAATTCATCTCTGGGAATCTGGCTCTCTGGGGCTTTCTTAGTTTGGCATATGAGAGTATGGTCTCCCTCTCCGTCTTGGGCTCCTTCACTGTGTTTGTTTGCATGTGTTGGATGTTCCTCTGTTCCTCCCAGGATGAAAATATGTTGGCTCTGGCTCATGGGTATGTGCTGCAGTTGCTGTTCCAGCTGGTGCTGCACCTGGTCACTGTCCATCAGACTCTTCAGCAGTGTGAGCTCTGTCTCAGGCTCCTGCTAATCCCAGGGTGTCTATCCCTGGAGGATTCCAGACTGAATTTACCACGGCCATGCCCTGCAATGGAGTATTTTGTGCATCAGCTGAGAGGTGGCTCTCTCAGCTGCTCAAAACTGTGAGAAGGAAACCTGTTGTTGGAGCACCCATCACACAACATGACCTGTTCCACTTTCTGCCCCCAAAGACTTGTTAGTTTGTAGGAACCCTTTTCACAGATCTCTCATGATGGCTTGGCTAGGGGAGCTGGGTTTATCCTGTTCCTCTTGCTCTGTGTCCCCTTGCAGGTTCACAGAAGAAGCAGTACCTCAGAGCTGCTCTGGGCCGAGTGCCAGGTCGGCTGAAATAACAGAAGTGTACTCAGCTCTCTGTGCACCTCCTGTCTTCTCTGTTAATCTGTTCCATTGGGAGTGTGAGGGGGTTAGCCTGGCATCCTGCTGGCTGTGATCTACCTGTAGTCACTTCTGAACATGGCTGGACTCCTCTGGTCCAATTAGCACCACCAAGCCCAGCTTTTAAAGCCTTTCCCACCACCCAAGTTCATGTAAGTCAGCTAACCAAGTTAGGAAACTAGTCCTGCTCAGACCCTAAGCTCAGTGGAAAGACAAACTCTTCCGTAAGGCAGTTCAGGTCTTCCACACCTCACTTGGTGCTATGTGATGACATCTGAAGCAGCTTTTCTCTACTGAGTAAAGAAAGGGCCTTATATTGAGTTATGGAAGTAGGTAGTTTGAGCCTTATAATGTTCACTTTGCCTTTTGTGGCTTTCATGTTCTGGATATGAAATCCCCCATGCTCTGATTTCTTATCCTGCTATGAAGGAATTAATGCATTACCATGTAGGTTGCTGCCTTCAGCTGTGTTTTCCCAGTCCATTGCTCATTGAGGCCTTCAGAGTGTGTTATATCAGTCCTAAGTTAAATCCATTCCCTTAGACTCACACTGAGAATCTCTCTCTGAGAGGTGACCTTAGATTTCCTTGCAGGTTGGTGTTGTGGATTATCTGGCTTTGCTGTGAAAAGCTCTGAGGATTGTTCTAACCTAAGAACCATCGACAATTACTGCTTTTCACAACTGGATGGTGAAAAGCAGTGTCCTCCAAATCTGATTAAATAGAATACCTTTGAGCAATTAGGAGTCTTACTCTGCTTTGTTTGTTGGCTAAGCTCTGAGAGGTAGAAGCCAGAGGCAGTAGCTGCAGGCTTGCTCCCTGCTGAAAGGCTCACTTGAGCCTGTCAGGTTGTGGCTGGAGATGCCCTGACTTGGTCCTTCCTGTCCTCCAGTTACTTCTCTAGAGGGGAACAGATCTCTTTTAGGTTCTGCATCACATCTCCCAGCCCCAGATGGGTGTCTGGGGTACCCCAATGTCTCTCTGGTGGTTGTAGTCACTAGTATGTGGGTAGTACCACAAATCTCAGGTAGACAACTAAATTTTTTGTTCTCTAATTTAGTGAGTTGATTTTATGATAATCCCATGTCTCATAATCAGGCCCATAACGAATAAATCTCTAGCCACACTTCCCAGGAGCTGAATAAAGATGGAACTGTGTGAGACACATGGAGTTATCTCACATAGGTTCACAAGTGGAAATCTGTGACATAAAGATATGTGCCCTCCTATTTTAGTGAAGATCCTTTTTTAGCCATTTTATCTCTTCTTTCACAGTAGAAACTGAGAAGTTTCCTCATCTGTGTTGTTACTTTTATCTGTAGGCAAAGACATGCATTCACCCTATTTAAGAGGAGACTGAGGAAGTTCAGTTAAATATATTCCTTGAACAAGTGTGGCTGTCAGTCTTTGTATTTTCCATCTTGCAAACAACAGTTCAGGATCAGAGCTTGCTGACCTGCAACCAAAATCTTCCACTCTTCCTGCAGCAGAACTGAAGGCCTCCTGATTTTTCT